TTGGCTTCCTGTCTCATGTGCTGCAGGAGGCTTGTGATTGTTTCTTTCTCCACACTCAGCTTGAAGGTGTTTGCAAGAGCCACTGATCACCTGTGTCAGCTGGAAAGTCTCTGGTTTGCCATTCTGTTGATCTAGAGCATCTGGGAAAATGGATATGATTCTTTGGGTCCCTAAATAAAGGTTCCTTTCACTCTTTCCAAGTACAAAGCAACCCAGGCAGCAAAGGCAATGGGTTAAAGCAGTAGAACAATGGAATGAGGGGCTTCTGGCCACCATGAGATAATTCAAACTACTTTTATCACTGTGGCAGCAAGTGTCTGATTGTGATGTGTCTGATGTGAGATGGAGGAGAAAAACTGTGAGAGACCAGAAGAGGCTGCCTGAGTGGGGCACACTCAGTGGCATGAGTGTGTCAGGGCCTGCTGGCACAGAGGCACGTCTGCATTAATGGATATTCATCCACACACATAGCAGAATAAGCTGCACAAGCAGCAACCCCAGTTCTGCTGGTTTAGTGAATCTGTATTAAGGGTGTGTGCTGGTGTAATTGCCTTTCTGTCATTAAATGGCTATACATCTTCTTAATTATAGACACAGCCACCTGCACACATCATGGAGCACCATCCGTGGTGCTGGAAATGAGCTCTACACTGGCCAGGAGAGGCCATCTCTAGGCTGGAGCCAGGGCAGCAAAGGGAGCCAAGTGGGAAGCAAGGTTTCCTGCAGCAGGGAGGAAACAAGCTGGCAGAAACACGCCTGGTCTGCCTGATTCTGCCACGGGCCACAGGATGGGCTGAGCACCCTCCTCCTTTCCTCCAGTTTTCTGCAGTTCCCTCCCACGGTTTCCCAAGCTGTGGCCATCAGGCCCTGCTGAGGATGGGGGTACCCCAGAGCAGGACAGGATGAACCTCTCTGGCTCTGCCACGGTCAGGATCTCTCCTGGAGGGCAGAGGCACAGGGACACACGGGGCTCTCTCTGGGTCCTGAAGGCTCAGCCTGGTGCACAGACATGGCTTGTGAGTGTTTTAAAAATAAACAGCCCGACTTGAGTTTATTTTTACATTTCAGGGAGGTTGGGGAGCAGGTCAGCCTCACAAAACAAAGCCCATCTCTTCAATGGCATTTTAAAGACGCTAGCACCTCTAACTCCATCTCATTAGGATGAGTAATGTGGAGGGAATGTGGAGAGGCTGCAGCCAGCCCCAGCCCTCCTGACCCGGGCACACATGGGGATCCCCATTGCCTGCTGCCCCGCACCTGGATGGGGGAGATGAAATTCCCTTTGCCTGATGCCCCATGCCTGGATGGAGGAGATGAAATCCCCTTTGCCTGCTGCCCCACACCTGGATGGGGGAGATGAAATTCCCTTTGCCTGCTGCCCCTGGCCTGGACCTGGGAGATGAAATCCCCTTTGCCTGCTGCCCCATGGCCTGGACAGGGGAAATGAAATCCCCTTTGCCTGCTGCCCCATGCCTGGATGGGGGAAATGAAACCCCCTTTGCCTGCTGCCCCTGGCCTGGACAGGGGAGATGAAATTTCCTTTGCCTGCTGCCCCTGGCCTGGATGGGGGAGATGAAATCCCCTTTTCCTGCTGCCCCATGGCCTGGACAGGGGAAATGAAATCCCCTTTGCCTGCTGCCCCATGCCTGGATGGAGGAGATGAAATTCCCTTTGCCTGCTGCCCCTGGCCTGGATGGGGGAGATGAAATCCCCTTTTCCTGCTGCCCCATGGCCTGGACAGGGGAAATGAAATCCCCTTTGCCTGCTGCCCCATGCCTGGATGGAGGAGATGAAATTCCCTTTGCCTGCTGCCCCACACCTGGATGGGGGAGATGAAATCCCCTTTTCCTGCTGCCCCATGGCCTGGACAGGGGAAATGAAATCCCCTTTGCCTGCTGCCCCATGCCTGGATGGAGGAGATGAAATTCCCTTTGCCTGCTGCCCCATGCCTGGATGGAGGAGATGAAATTCCCTTTGCCTGCTGCCCCTGGCCTGGATGGAGGAGATGAAATTCCCTTTTCCTGCTGCCCCATGGCCTGGACAGGGGAGATGAAATCCTGTGCTCAGGTGCAGCTTCACCAGATGGCCCAGTGCTCTGCAGGGCACCTGCCCAAGAGGGACAGCACTGGGAGACAGGATAGAGGCCAAACTTTAGAGAAGGTTCTGTTATGGGAGTAAGAAATGAAAGGAAGGAGTGCGAAATCAAGGACAAGAATGAAAGGAATGGATACCTAGACTCTAATCACAATATTCCTGCTAGTAGTATTTAGTTTTTTTAAGTATCACTAACCCATGTCAGAGATTTGCCCAACTTTCCTGCACAAGGAATTTGCCATCAGAACTAGAGTGGACAGGAGTCACTGGAGGATGTGGTGTGCAGTGCAGAAACAGATTTGTAAGAAAACAGAAGGAATTTCTGGATCAGCTGGATGAGTGATTTGGAATCAGTGCTGGAATGGAGGCAGTGTGAAGTGCTGGCAGCAGTGACATAGTCAGGTGGTTGTACGAAGGTGACCATCCTTTCCTTCAAAGGACAGAGCCTTTGTGTCCTGTGCTGGAGAGCAGAAAATTTCAGGAGGGAGTGCTAAAGGGCCAGGAACATTCAGCAGACATATTATTCATGTATTTAGGATAAAGTGTTAGCATATGTTGAGATCTGGACTTCACCTTAGGCTCAACAGTTAATAAGATTTCTATTTCCTGCTTAGAAACAATCAAATCACACTGCTACAATCACTGGCTGATGAGGTATAAAATGACTTTTTAATTATTTCATAAATGCATTTAACATTACTATATGCTCAAAATTTATTCCCTCTTAAATATAAATACTTGAATAAATTCTTAATATAATGTTGCTATTTTTGCACAATATAAATGACACATTTTCATATATCTTTTCAAAACATCTTAAGGTACTTTAGACCTTTATTGTAGCTGGACTCTCAAAAGATAAAGTTGACTTAAATTAGGAATATACAGTCAAGTGCTAGATTTTGATATTTTGCCTTCACAAACTGATGATGCATTGCTCTCACACACAGTTAATGGCAGGAAAATTCCTGCCTCTCTCTTCAATACTACATTTTACACTTTTCCACAGTAAAGGATTTGTACAGATGAATTTTGCACAATTTTTACTCCCCTAAAACAGGAGGATTTTTGGAACATTATTTCAACAATTTTGGAAAAATATCTACCTTAGAATGAACAGAAGCTCAGAGAAGTTTTTGCATACATAATAATGTTTTTAAGGTTCATGTTAACATCAGCCTACAGTTAATTTTAGGGACTCATTCTTGCCCACAAGCCCAGTGTCCGTGGCTGAAAAATCAGATAATACCTGTAGCCACCTTCCTGTTGTGACATACTGGTTCATCCTGTATTGGGGATCACTTGGAAGGGAGGATGGAGGGATGAGTTTAAACCTGTGTATGATTTAGGAGGTTGGAATGGAAGTCATTAGGAAAGAGTAATTCTTCTGAGAGGTAATTATAGGGAAAGCCTGGCAGTGGGGAATTCAAAGTTTAGGACATGAGACTAAAGATACGTGCATCAATCTCTGTCTGAACATCTGTCCTAATCTCCCTCTTTTGCTGAGACACTGTAAACCCAGATTTGGCAGATTTGTCATGTTTTTTGCCTGGATCAATACCAACAAATAACTTCCAGATCTGGAATTCACTTTCCTTTAAAAAGCTTTTGAAAATTCAGAGGAACAGGGAAAGTCAGAATATACTTTTTGAGAAGCAAACTATCAAATGAAGTGCTTGTAAAACCTGATCCTCCCACTACTATCCTTGTCTTTCCTTATTTTTCCATTTTCTAGACCTAGAATTTACTTCTTAAGGCAGAGTTTCACACACCACAGTTGGAAATTAATTTCCTCCCCTGCCCACCCCTCTAGACTCCTGTGCTGCTGAGAAGCCAATGTTGAATGTTCCCCTCAGAACGGTTTTGCTTCGCTCATTTTATAAACTAAAAAAAAAAAAAAAAAAAAAAAAGTAATTTTAAAAAATTCATTTATCTACTTGCAGGCAGACCAGCACTGTCTGCTTAGGAACATTTTCAGTCCCTTCAGGAGTCCCAGTTGTGCATGTTCTGAGTCCTTCCCTTTGGAGCCTGTCCTGTTGCCTGTTTCCCAGGAGCCTGAAGTAAACACTGGACTGTTTAATGGAACTCTGCACGACCTTCCAACTACACTTTCATCCTGAAATGAAGTTGCTTCCTTCATTGCTCTAACCGCAGCCTGGACGGAGCAGATATTATTGATCCACCCGCACCCCTGCTTTCTCCATCCATCCTGGGAAAACAGACAGGTCTCTTCCCTGGGAGCCACTACATCCTCCGGACAAGGCCCATGATAAAACAGCGGCATACAGGCGAGGAACAGTCTTGTTTACAGCAGATTCTTCCCTTCCCACACATGCCACAAACCCGTCCTTTACCCGCTGGCCCATGCCGCACAAGCAGTGAGTGCCCGCCGGGGACGGGACGGGCCCACCCCGGTCCAGAGCCCCCGGCCCGGCCAGCCCGGCTCCGGCTGCAGCCCCGGGCGGGGCAGGTTCGCCATGAGCCCCGCACAGCCACACACCCGCGGGCCCGGGCGCAAGAGGCAACCGAGCCCACGGGCCCCGCGGTCCCGCGCGAGCCGGCCGGTGTCGGTGCGCGGCCGTGCGGGGCTCCCTCCGCTCCCCGCCCGGGCCCGCACGGCGAGCACGGGGCGCGACCCCCGCCAGCCAGAGCCGGGGCGAGCAGCGGGGTCTCAGCCCGGCGCAGCGGCCGCGAAGGGCCCGGCGGGCAGCGCAGAGCGGCGGCCGCAGCGCTCCCCGCGCAGGTGGCGGCGGCGGCCCTGCGGGGAGGCCGCGGCGGCAGCGGCGCCCGGCCCCTGTCCCCGCCCCTCCGGCCTCCTGGGGCGGCGGCGGCGGCCGCGGCGCTTTCCCCTCCCTCTCTCGCTCGCTCCCTCCCTCCCCGGCTGCGGGCTGTTCCCCCTCATGCGGATGTGACATTTCACGGCGTTACCGCAGCCGCCATTTTGAGGCACAGAGCGCTGGCGGCGGCGGAGCGGCAGCAGCGCGCCGGGGCTCGGGCGACGGGGGCGGCCCGCGGGCCGGGAGCGGCGAGCCGGGCGTCGGCCAGCGGCGGTGCCGGGGCGCCGGGGGGGGCGGGAGGGCACGGCAGGGGCCCCGCGGCGCCTCCCCGACTTCGCAGCGCCGCGGACACCTCGCCGGGGGAAGGGGAAGCGCCGGGCGCCGCCGGGCCCTGACTCCGGGTCTCCCGTCCCCCCCTCCCGGTCCCCTCCCCTCCGGCCCCCGGGGAAGCCGCCGCCCCCGGCCGGACCCTCCTCCCAGCCCCTTTTCCCCGACCGGGTGCCGCCGCCGAGATTGGGCGAATAGCGAGTAAATACGTGCGCGTCTCGCTGCCTCCGCCGGCGCCCCGCTCCCTACTCGCCGGAGCCCCGCCGCAGCCCCTCGAGCCGGGCGCTCAGTCCCGGCCGCTGCCGAGGCCCCGCCGCTCCTCCGCCCCTTCCCCTCCCGACACAGGCCCGCAGCCCCCCGCGGGAAAGGCCCAGCCCGCCGCCGCCGAGCCCCAGCCCCAGCCCGACATGAACCACCATCAGCAGCAGCAGCAGCACCAGAAGCCCGGGGAGCAGCAGCTGAGCGAGCCCGAGGACATGGAGATGGAAGGTAAAGCCGGCCAGGGCCCGCGCCCTCAACTCCGCGGAGAGTTTCCCCCTCGCTCCTCTGCCCCGCTCCCGGGGCTCCCCCACCGCCGCGTCCCCTCGGGGATCCTGGGCCGCTCTCCGCGGTAAACACGCTCTGCCCGGGCTGCTCCTGCTGGCTCCGGGGCGCGGGGAGCGCTGCTCGGCGGGGCTGCGGGGGGACGCCGAGGAAAGTTGCGGTGCGGGGCCGGGGGGAGACGGCTCGGGGGGCTCCGCAGGAATTCGCACCGCGGGAGGGGGAGGGCGCGGGGGAAGCGCCGCTACAAAAGGAGCCCCGCGCCCCCGGACCCTCGGAGCCTCCCGCCGGGCGTGGGGCGAGCCGGGGGGGGCACGGGGGGTCCGGGCAAAGTAGTTGCCGTGATTCCGGGGCAGGGTTTTGCCTGGGGCGGGCGAAGGGGACGCGGCTGTCGCGGGGCTCCCCGGCGGGGCGGGCTGGGGGCTGCAGCCCTGCCCTGCCCGGCCGCTCATTGTATGCAGGCAGCTACGCTGCTCGCCATTTTTAATTAACCCTCCTCCGAGGGTTATTTACAGAACCCGCTGCCGGCCGGGCCTGCGCGGGTCGGCGGGCAGCGCTGGCCATGTGTAGCGCCTGCACAGCCCGCGGCCCGCATCCTGCACCGTCATGCAGTTGCGCTGGTTCCATAAAGGAGGCACTACGTTTGCATGTTCCCTACCCCCGTCCGGTGTAGTCTCCAGTGGTGCCTTTAGCGGGGCCTTTTTTTTATTTTTTTCTTTCTCTTTTTTGCGTTGTGGTGTTGTTTTTGCACGCCCTCCCCTCCTCTGAACAACACCTTCCATCTGAATTCAACGCTGTAAAATTATTTTGGGCAAACGTACGGCGGGGTTTCGTTCCCAAAGGAAGGACGGCCACAGTGAGCTAGCTACTCGTACCGATTGACTTGGAGGTCAAAATCACCAAGTACCTAAATATCGTTTAGAACGCCTGGCTGTGAAGATGACAATTCTCATTCAGCCTGACATAAATACCCACTAGCACAGGATATTTTGCTTGAAAACGGGACAATCGACTTGGCACATGTACCTTTCTGGTAAATAATAACCACTGAAATTGGGAGGAGTGAAGGTGCTTCAGTGGAAGTTTGTCACAGTGACTGTGAGATTACATTTCAATTTTAGAAGGTCATTACATAAAGCCTGACTTTTTAAAACATAGATGTCTATTTCATACAATAATGGCTAGAAGTTATTTACTATCTAAGTTACTTTTAGGTTCTGTTTTAGTAAAATCTCCAGAGTGATGTTTCTATACAATGAGACGAATAAGTAAAAGGAGTTGATTGGAAATATACCTCTTATTTGTATACATACAAGTATTGGTGTCTTGTGGGTTACAGTTTCCAGCAGATTGTTTGACAGTCATTAGTAATCTCTATTTTCTCAGTGTCCTTTTTAAGTCCTTTAGAATATTGACTGTATTTACTGTGTTTATTTTGAATTTTGTGGGCTGGATGCTCTGCCATTCTGGACTCACTGTGACATGCTGGACATTTTTATGCAGTTTAAGGATGTTCTGAACTTCTCTGGATTGCGCCCCCTCTGCCACTGGGAATACAGGAGTCCAAAATACATGCAGAAATCACTGATGGTTGTGAAAATCATGCTGAGGACCACTTCCATTGGAGGAAAGAGTCTCTGCACATGTCAACACAGTGACACTAAGAATACATCATTGTCTCAGAAATCTATTTGTAATCTATTAGAACACACACAGCTGATTCCAACTGATATGACAAACTTGGTAATTTTTGAGACTTTACAGAATTGTCCATTTATATAAAAACAAAGCCAGAAAAGTTTAGCCTGTGGAGGTTTTTTCCCATACTTGATTTTTCTTAGAGAAACATGTTAATTTTACTGGAATGCAGAGATCAGCTTATTGCTAACTTTTAATAAAAGTTGACATCATGGGTATACATTAATTTAATGTGTAAAACAATGTTTGTCATCTTAATATATGGGTGTTAGTGTTTTCTTTAGAGATGTTTTCAAGCAGTGAGGAAAATGCTTAATAACATGTAGTTAGCTTAATTTTAACATGCACAGAGCAGTATTGGATGCCATTCTTCAGTGAGTGATCACATTAGATTTAGGAGGCATGTGAAGAATGCACAGTGGAAAATTGCACATCTTGATTTGAAATTACTTGAAGGTTTGCTCAGTCTGTGTACAGCTACACTAGATGAACAATTTTTAAAGAGTGAAATAACAATTTTAGATGTAGTAATCGAAGTGTGGAATTAAACTCTTCAGGGTTGAATCAGATATGGTATTTTGAGTGTTTGCTCTCATGTCCCTATTTTTTTCCTCTCTCCTTTCCCTTATGACTAATTTACTTTTCCTTGGTGACTTTATGGACACTCTGTGTAAGTGAAAGTACTACTGGACAGGGCTTTTGGGCTTCACAAGGGATGAAGACATTTGCTTTAGAAAGGAACCTTAATCTCTGCATGAGGGAGGAAAGCAGCAGTGCCAGCCACGGTAAGGGCCAGGTACAGGCTCAGCAGCACCAGGGCATGGATGCAGCCTCAGCTGCCTGCAGTGCTGTGTGTCACCTGTCACCCCCCTGTGCATTTAGTCCTGTTACCGTGGGTGTCAGTAATCAGCTTTAGCCTTACTGGGGCTTGGCACTAGTGATATGTGGACAGGGAAACTTTAAATTTCAGAGCTCAGTAGGGGTTGTGTCCCTCTAACTGAAGGCAGCTACTGCCACAGCTGAGGGGACACTTGGACAGCACAGTGTTTGCTGCTTCTGGCTGTCCCCTCAGGTGACACAGCAGCTGCTGGGCTACTGCACCTCCCTGGGACTATTGCAAACAGAAAGTGGGGGGTTAAGATGTAGTTCAGGTTGTTAATTGGGTTCACCTTGCAGTCCCATTTAGTGCTGTGTGAATGTGGCAGGGGCATTGGGGCAGGAAGGAACAAGACGGGCAGCTTGAGGTGGCACAGGTGGTGACAGTTACCTGGCCAAATTCTGTCACTGCTCCTGCATTCTGTGTGCACCACTCATTTATTTTCTGCTGCACAAGAGCATGTGATTCTGGCTGCCTTGGCTGCCTTTGGGCCGAAACAGAGTGGGAGTGTGCAGATGAGCCGTTGGTGCCTGGGTATTAGATAAATTAACAGTTTGGGGTGGTGATTAGTAAATTATCCTGTGGAAATTTTGAAGTTTATTTGTATGCTAAATAAATTTAGTGGAAGAAAGAAATAATAGTTTTTTCTGTACTGTAAGTAGGGTGTGTAGTTTGCTTTATCGTGCAAGGAATTAGGTCTGTAGCGTTGCTAGTGAGTTGCTCTATAAAGTGTAATTGAATCCAAGTCTGATACTTTATATATGCTTCCTCTGTAACATCTTTTCACAAATGCCTGAGCTTCAAAGAACTCTGCTTAATACAAATCTACAGTTACATGTTGCATAGAGTTCTTTCATGAAAAGTCTCATTTGCAGCTTAATAACTGTAAGTTTGCCTTGTTTATAATTTGAATCTGGTTTTTTGTAGGTTCAGCCTCTGCCCATAGTTCCATAGGTAGGTGTGTTTCTCATTAGGGAAGTTTCTTTCCTAAAGTAGCCAGTGCAGGCTTAGCTACACAGTGTCACAGGCAGGGAACATGCAGTGACTGGTTGTTTAGGTTGCATTGTTGTGTTCTGTCCTTGTGTCAGCTCTGCAGCCTCTCAGGCAATGCCATCTTTTGAGTTTTCCCTTAGTTTGGGCAATTTAAAATTGAGACTTGAATTGCAGATGAAATAATGCAGCATTTGTACAAAAAAAAAACCCGGGAAAAACCCAACATGTCTGTGTGTATGTGCAAAGTTTAAAATCACACTATTTTGCTGTTTCCATGCAGCTGAAAGTTTGTGCTCCTTGTTCATTCCTGTTTTGCTCATTACTGACAGAATTTGCTAGATTTCAGTCCCACTGTGGAATACTGGTCTCAAATACTTAACTTATTTTTGCCTGACTTCTGAATGCTTGCTTCCCTCTCATATTTTGTCCTCGTTAGTATTCTCAATTCCTGGCAATTTAATGTCATTTGCATACATAATCCAGTGTTCACTTCTTTTCTGCTTGCTTCTATGCCTTCCTCCTGAAGACCTGTATCCCTCTTTTTCCCTGTGTTCCTTTGCTGTCTTCTATGTTGCCTTTAGCCAGGTGGTGATAAAATGAGGCTGTGTGTTTGAGAGGAGAAAATGCAGACTAATTTCATTATTCAGCTGTAGGTATCTGCTTGTTTATGTGTTCTTCCTGCCCCTTCCCCTCTCCAGCATTTTCCATGAAAGAGATGATGGTCAAGCAAGGAAGTATAAAAATGCTGATGCAGTGGACAACGAGCAAAATTAGGTTAATTCTGGGGTTATACCTAGAGCAGAGAACCAGGCCTGGCCTCTTACTTGCAATAATGATCATGTTTGGTAGCTCTGGAAACAGCTTGCTTGGCCTTAGGAGAAGATGTGCATTGATCATTCTCAAGTAGCCACTTCATGCCGACCAGGAGAACAGCCTTGGTGGCTTCTGCAGAGTGCAGGCTACGTCTGGAGTTCCTTCTGTGCATCCTCCAGAAATCTCCACTGTGGATTCTCAGTAAGTTGTCAGATTTAGTAAATTCTCTGGGAAGAAGTGGAAATAGTGGAATAGTGGAAAATGTGTGCAAGCTTCAGAGGGAAGTGCAGATCCCACACTCCTCAGGATGAGCTGTGTATCTCAGACTTCCTTACAGCACTCCAGTTGTTCATGCTGTGGACTGAATTCAGAAGTGGTGAAAACTGCTCCCTGTTGTTCCTAGGGAGTTAAACAAAGTAAAGTAGCAAGCTGTCAAGTTGTGTGAGGAGGAGCAATAACAGCCCAAGCTACTTTAAAAAAGCAGGTGAAGATAGTTGTTTAAAACTAACTGAATCAGTTTCATTGCTGCAAAGTAATTTATCACAAGAAAATCTAAACAGTGCATCCA